ACCGGTTGTGAAAAAGGTACGGGATGAACAGTATGGCATGCAACTTTCATGGCGAAATTTAACTTGCTAGTTTAGCGTATATTTGGTCACGGTATTTTGATCCTCTGGGTAGATTTAATCCTGCGAATGCCTTTAAGTTAGGAAAGTCGACCAAAGGGCCGACTTAAGAGTTATGTGCAGTAAGGTTGGCGAAATTTGTAGAAGTCTAATATCGAAGGAATTTCCTATATGTAGTACTAAGTACGATAGAACCAAACTTTTGATGAATATGCATTGTGCTATGGAAGATCACCAAAATAAGTAAACAAAAGTGTAAAACATATGTCCTTCAGAAACGGAAAATTTTGTCCGAAATTGTTCAGATGCAAGTTAGGCCAAGAAAGGTCACGTTCAGAAAGAAGGAACGATTTATGTTTTAAAAATTATGCTAAGCTAACATGTAAAATTTTTTCCACAAAATGCAGTAACAAAAACAATTTTCGGTCGCATTTTGTTTTACGGCATCGCCTACGTGGTGAATAAGCAAAGTGTCCACATATGCTAACGTGAAGGTAATATATAATAGGTTTGTTAGTCATGTAGAAATATGCTTTTTTGTAAGCTATACTTTCGGTTTACGCCTTATTTAGACACGGAACAGAAAGGATAATATTAATTATTTTAAAAAAAATTGCCATTAATATGGCTACTCTTTTTTGCATTCGCAAGCTTATAACAGATCCTGGAAGAAATACACTACGGCGGAAATTAATCCATAATAAAGAGAAAAGTAATTTCTTTCATATTTGTTTAAAGTGAATCGTTTATCTTCAAATAAATAAATAAATCGACAAAAGTCTCCAATTTCATTTAGACTTAACCTTGGAAAAGGGCAATATATACAGAAATTTGTCAGCTGAATACCCAATTAAAGCACTTTTTGAAGAGGTAACCTATGTTTATTAATTTTATGAATAACAATGTCCGAGTTGTCTTGCGACGTTCTGAATTCGCGAAAATGTGGTTTGCTGTTTTGAGGCATTTCTGAGCATGATCCACATAGCCATCTCCATAAGAATTTATATCCAAAAACTCATTTTTTTCGGTAAATGCTCCTGATTTAAACATTGAACGGAAGCTCAATTGATGGACGAACACATGAAAGCACTAAACATGCTTGAAATTATGCCAGAATTTAAAGGACGATATTAAATAAATAGTTATCCTACAAGGGTAATATGTATAAACAATTTTGACTAAAGAAAATTTCGTTTTATATAAAGAAAGTGGTTACCTTAAGCTTTCAACTTAAAGGAAATATCTATAAATTTTATTGCTCTAATTAATAGCTATTTTTACGTCTCCAAAACTTGAGGGTTTTCGAAAAGATTTTTATTTTTTTAACAAATACTTAAGACTTGTTATACTTTTTTTAATATCTTAATGTTTCTTAATGCTGTTCATTATTATTTCTAAGTTTTCGTAAGTGCGTTCATGCCGATATGCGAGTAAGGATCAAACTGTTACAAACTTAGGTATTTTGCATGCAGGACTCGCCCTACGATTAGCAGTGAAACTAGGCCACTAGGCCGGTAATTTGTGCTTGAAAATGGCCTTATGCGATTACTCGATCTCAGTAGTTCTGCATTACATTGCTCTCCAAAACCGTTGGAACTTTTTTACTTTGAGATCCGCAGTATACTCTTTTCTTATGAAACGTCAACCAGAATTCTGATCTCCGGCTGGCACACTTAACAGAGCCACAGACCTTCCCGCCTACCGGGCGTTACGTACAAAGCTTAAATCAGTTCGAACAAGGCCAACAGGAAGCCAAAGCAAACTAATACAACTTACGTCACAGGAAAATACGGGAGAACCGTGGATTACTACGTCATCGCCACGCTCACGAGGTTTACATCAACTCACGCGGGCAGTAACAACTGATTACTCCGTAGGTCGACGAGGGACAGACTAGCCAGTACGCTGGCCTGCGACAGCCGCAAAGAGGGCAGAGGTCACACCAGCCCACCAGCGATCAAACTCACAGTCATTCAGCAGCGAACAGGCTGGTCAAAGCTCGTGCGTCGAGCACGAATATAATGCCAGGCATGCACCAAGAATGAAACAGTTCCGGCAAACAGGAACAACCACCCAGTTACACTGACGATGGAACCGAGCGACTGTCTGACACGCCAGTCTAAAAAATAAAACGGTCCATGTCCTCGTACCTTCTTTTTCTTCTTTGGGGGATAGTGAAGACGATTCTGAAATGTGTTTCTGATTCGAACAAATTACTTAAGTAGCTTAATGATACGGATTATTGTACAAGCAAATCCCAAGGTATTTCAGTAGCGTCAGGATTCCCGCTTAGGAAGGAACTTCTTTCTGGCCGCTTGCAAAAACTTGTTTATGTAAATAAATGACTAGATGTTTCACATGCATTTTTCTGATTGATTTTCAATTTTCAATTTTATAGAAAACATCCACAAACGTAACCTTTATTTTACTCGTTTGGAAAACATTACACTTTATTCAAATCTAATACTTGAAGAATGTGTATTTTTCAGTTTGAAAACACGTTTCTATATTGCCGAATAAGTTTGAATCCTACTAGCCGCTACGCTTGAATTCCAAACCACATGTTGTATACTCGCGTCCTAAGGAAAAGAACATACCATATGCGGTACGACGAAGAGGTCATATTGTTGTCATAAAATTGTGAGCTTGATCTGAATTATTATAAACTGGGAAGAAGAAGAAGAAGAAGAAGAAGAAGCTGTGTCGATCACCGGAATCATAATTTTATTAGTTTGAGCTTTCGCACTCTTACAGGCGTCCATCGTCAGAGATAGAAAACAGCAATAAATGGAGGCTAGCTATGGCATGTGCACAAAACAAAAGTTTGAACGTGTTAAAAATCAATAATTGTCTGGTGTGGGCGCCGATTGGCCACTGCTGAATATTTCAGTCTGCTCAAGTAGGCGAGATCGGCGTGTTGGGTGGTAATATTTACAGAAATAAAATCGTCAACGAAAATAAGCAACGTTTATAGGGGGACGGGTCAATTAAACGCTATAGGGGACGGGGGAGGAGGGGGAGAGGACCAATTAACCGCCAGTGCCTTGAGTCTGGAGATACCTTCGCAGAGCAACATATGCGGGCGCCAGCTTGATATATCGGTTAACTGAATTGTCATCCGACACCCAGACTGCAATCGATTCTCGGCCCGTCTTGCTGCCAGCGTGGGCAATTATCCTCGTGGCTGCGAAGTTGAACTCGTGACCTGACTCGTAGGTGGGGGCCGCCACTTGCGATAATATGTCACCCCGTCGAACAGCCAGTTTATGCTCGTGTATGCGTGAATCCAGCTTGCGTCCAGTCTGTTCCGCGTAATTTATGGGACAGTTTATACATGGTATGTGATACATTACGTCCGGCTGCTCATGGGTATTTAATTGATCCTTGATTCTCATGACACGGCTGCGCATTGTAGCCTGAGGACTGTGTGCAATTTTAACGCCTAGTGCCGCGACAATGCGTTCGGTCGCTTCCGACACATCCTTGATATATGACAGCGCATGCCAAATCAAATCGCCCTTGGAGGGCGAGCACGTAGGCAGCGGCTTATGAAGGCCTTAGGATAGCCATTCCGCCTAAACTGGTCGCGGAGATGTCGGGCCTCACGTGCTTTTTCTTCCGGGTTACTGCAATGAGTCTGGATTCTTTTGAACAGCATTCTTACACATCTTCGTTTGTGAGCCACCGGATGGTTCCTATGAAAACTGAGAAGCTGTGTCCTGTTCGTCGTCTTCCTGCAGAACCCCGTTTCTAT